GTGGGTTTGTCATATATGGCCTTTATTATGTTGAGGTACTTGACCTCTATACCCATTTTGTTGAGAGTTTTTATCATGAACAGATGTTGAATTTTGTTGAATGCTTTTTCAGTGTCTATGGAGATGATCATGTGGTTTTTGTCCTTTTTGTTTAGGTGGTGGATGATGTTGATGGATTTTTGAATGTTGTATCATCCTTGCATCTCTGGCATAAATCCTACTTGATCATGATGTTGAGTATTTTTGCATCTTTGTTCATCACGGATATTGGTCTGTAATTTTCTTTTTTTTGTGGTGTCTTTGCCTGGTTTTGGTATTAGAGTGATGCTGGCCTTGTAGAATGAATTTGGACATATTTTCTCCTCTTCTTTTTGGAAAACATTAAGGAGGATGGGTATTAGGTCTTCACTTAATGTTTGTTTGATAAAATTCAGAGGTGAAGTTATGTGGTCCAGGAGTTTTGTTCTTAGGTAGTTTTTTTATTACCAATTCAATTTTGTTGCTGATAAGTGGTCTGTTCAGATTTTTTGTTTCTTCCTGGGTCAGCCTTGGAAGGTTGTATTCTTCAAAAAAGTTGTCCATTTCTTCTAGGTTATCCAGTTAGCATATAATTTTTCATAGTATTGTCTCATAATTCTTTGTATTTCTGTGGTGTCCTTAGTGATTTTCCCTTTCTCATTTCTGACTCTGTTTATGTGTGTAGATTCTCTTTTTTCTTCATAAGTCTGGCTAGGGGTTTATCTGTTTATATTCTCACAGAACCAGCTCTTGCTTTCATTGATTCTTTCTATTGTTTTCTTCTTCTCAATTTTATTGATTTCTGCTCTAATCTTTATTATGTCTCTTCTTCTACTGACTTTGGGCCTTATTTGTTCTTCTTTTTCTACTTTCATTAATTGTGAGTTTAGACTGTTCAGATAGGATTGTTCTGCTTTCCTGAGGTAGGCCTGTATTGCAATGTACGTCCCTCTTAGCACGGTCTTCGCTGCATCCCACAGATTTTTGCGGCATTGAATTATTGTTGTCATTTGTCTCCATATATTGCTTCATCTCTGTTTTTATTTGGTCATTGATCCATTGATTAGTTAAGAGTACGTTATTAAGCCTCCATGTTTTCGTGGGATTTTTCAATTTCTTTGGATAATTTATATCTAGTTTCATACCTTTGTGGTCTGAGAAGCTGGTTGGTCCAATTTCAATCTTTTTGAATTTACTGAGGCTCTTTTTGTGGCCTAGCATATGATATATTCTTAAGAATAGATGCACCCTTGAGAAGAATGTGTATCCTGTTGCTTTTGGATGGAGTGTTCTGTAGGTGTCCATTAGGTCCATCTGTTCTAATATGTTGTTTGGTGCCTCTGTCCCTTTACTTATTTTCTTTTCGGTTGATCTGTCCTTTGGAGTGAGTGGTGTGTTGAAGTCTCCTAAAATGAATGCATTACATTCTGTTTTCCCATTAATTCTGTTAGTATTTGTTTCATATATGTAGGTGCTCCTGTGTTGGGTACACAGATAATTATAATGGTTATATCGTCTTGTTGGACTGACCCCTTTATCATTATGTAATGTTCTTCTTTGTCTCTTGTGACTTTCTTTGTTTTGAAATCTATTTTTGTCTGATACAAGTACTGCAACTCCTGCTTTTTTTCTTAGTTGCATGAAATATTTTTTTCCATCCCTTTCCTTTCATTCTCTGTATGTCTTTGGGTTTGAAGTGAGTCTCTTGTAGGCAGCATATAGACAGGTCTTTTTCGTACTCCATTCAGTGACTCTATCTTTTGATTGGTGCATTCAGACCATTTACATTTAGGGTAATTATCGATAAGTATGTACTTACTGCCATTGCAGGTTTTAGATTTGTAGTTAACAAAGGTTCAAGGGTAATTCCCTTACTATCTAACAGTCTAATTTAACTCACCTAGTATGCTATTACCCACACAACCTAAAGGTTCTTTTTTTCCCCTCCTCCATTCTTTATATATTAGGTACCATATTCTGTACTCTCTGTGTATCCCTTGACTGACTTTGGGGGTAGTTGATTTGATTTTGCATCTGCTTAGTAATTAATTGTTCTACTTTCTTTACTGTGGTTTTATTTCCCCTGGTGACAGCTATGTAGCCTTAGGAACATGTCCATTATATCCTATAATGTGAGTATTTTTCTGTTTGTATTGGTCCCACATTTCTCTCAATATTTTTTCATTCTTAGAGATCCTTTTTTCTCTCTGTGCCTCAGCTTCTATGTATTCCTCTTCTCTAATTTCTATTCCATTTACCATCTCTTCTACTACATCTAATCTGCTTTTATGTCCCTCCACTGTATGTTTCATTTCAGATATGGAATTTCTTAATGATTGAGTCTTTGTTCTAAATTCGTCCCTGAGTTCTTGAATATTTTTCTGTGCCTTCATGAGCATGTTTATGATTTTTATTTTTAGCTCTCTTTCAGGAAGGTTTATGAGTTCAGTTTCACTTGGCCCCTTTTCTGGTGTCTGTGAGATATTGGTTTGAACCTGGTTCCTCTGACCTTTCATATTTGTATGTGGCGCCCTCTAGTGCCCAGAAGCTCTCTTCTCTGGAGCTGCTCAGCCCCTGGAGTGATATCGGGGGTGGCAGGGGAGCAGTGTTGGTGCCTGGTGGGGAGAAACAGCTGTTTCCTGCTTCCTGGCTGCTGTGCCTATCTCCACTGTCAGAACCAGTGGGCCAAGCACACAGGTGTGTAAGCCTCTGTACTTTGTGTCTGTAGCTGCCATAGGCATGGCCTCCTTCTGGCTGGCATGACATCAGAGCAGGGACTGCTGGTTTGTGAGCCAGTGCCGGTAGGCCAGGAGAAAGGTGCAGCAGGCTGTGTATCATGGTGGGGGGCCTCATAGCTGAGTAGCCAGCCAGGGGCATGGGGCGTCTGAAGCTCCTGAAAGTTCCAACCTGATGGGCAGAGTGTGCCCAGACAATTCTGTAGACTATTCTTACTCCAGAGCAGCAAGCTCTGTGCAATCCTTGCCCCTTTAGCAGCCCTCTCACTGTTAGGAAGTCTCAGTCTGCCTGCCTTTCTTTTGTCCCAGAGCAGCTGGATGTGGATCCCTGTTTTCCACAAATGGCTGGAATCTCAGTCTCTCCAAGTATTCCACCTGTCTTAGCTTTCCAACCCCACTAATCTCCAGAGCACCATGCAATGTAGGTTTGTGCTCCCAGAGCAGACCTCCAGGGCTGGGTGTTCAGCAGTCCCAAGCTTCCACCCCCTCCCCACTCCATTTATCTTCCTCCCGCCAGTGAGCTGGGGTGGTGGAGGGGCTTGGGTCCTGCTGGATCAAGGTTTTGGTATGTTACCCGGTTTAGTGAGGTCTGCTCTTCTCTCCAGGTGTATGCCCTTCTTTCCTGTTGCTCTTTTAGGATTAGTTGTATTATCTATATTGTTTTATTATATGTGGTTTTTGGAGGTGATCTCTGTGTCACCTCTCACGCCACCACCTTTAATTCTCTCACTTCCAAGTATACCTACTTTTTAATATGTATTTAGAATAGAAACAGGAGATGCTTAGGCAGAGATAAACTCTTTTTACAAGTTAAACGCCAAAAACATTAGCTATAGGATCCTTTATCACAAAAACCAGTGACCTTTTTTCAAGTTTTTTCCTTTAAATATATAGCAGAATTCTTAAGCAGAAACATCTTAAGCAATGTCTCAAAAATATCTATTAGATAAATGGGACTAATCTGGCTGAAACATGAGAATGCCTAGAGACTGGCTCAAAAGGTCCCCTTTTGGGGCTTCCTCCCCACCCTGTGTCACCTGGCATCTTCAGTTGCACTAGAACGTCACTTGAAATCTAGGATTGTATTTTAAGCTTTCTTTTTGAGTCTCCTTATACACAACAGGGTTTTATCTGGAGAGCACTCAGCTATTTTATTCAGGCTCTAAAATATAACAATGGTTTATAAATAAGGAATCATTTAAAGTATTACATTCTCTTCTGGCCTAGAAAAATAACATCAGCCACATCAGGTCCTTGGTTTTGAAAGTTAAGAACAAGCACTGTTCCTTGACAGTTTGCTGCCTCTAAAACTTACTAACATCAGTAGTAGCGACCTTTGGGCATAAAACCAGCCCAAACCTATTCTCACCAGCATTCTCTCAGATTATAGGGAATTATTTATAATAATGATCATTTCAATAAACCAAAAATACTGAATAGAGAGGCACATACAACTGTTTTCACAGTAAAGTGAGAACTATACTAAAAATACAAATTTTAAAATAATGGAATAGGAATTGAAGTAAAATTGTCCTCAGAGAAAAAAATTATCAACAACCTAAATATTCTAATTATATGGCCAGATGGATGCACCATGTGACATTTGGAAGATGACTAAGGAATCAAGCCCTACTGCTAGGTAGACACTGTAGTGTATATTCCAACTTTTAAGGCACATCTGAACTAAACAGAAACATGAAATACACAGGAAATGTAAATTTAAAAGTACACCCAAAAATTATGCAAAGAAAAAACTGGAAGCAGCAGAGGAAAAAAAAATGATAGGAGTAAAAAAGAGAGAGTCACCCTACATATTTTATTTGGGAAAAAGCCCTTCCCCACATTTTTTAAAATGGTTTCTTTATTTAAAAATATTTTCTTTTCACAAATGACCCTTGAAAGTCAAGTTTTCCTAACTAATTTAGAAATTTTTTCCACTATGGCTACAGGGACAGATTCAAGTTTTATGTTCACTGAATCTTTCTCAGTTTCTCTTTGGGAAGGGGATGGGAGTATCCTTTAAGAAAAGTTCTACAAAATCACAAATGAAAAACAAGGTGCAGGGCCGTGGTGGGGACCTGACACTTCTTAGGTTCACTAAGAGCCTCTGTAGAACAAGTTACTGAAGAGTTGTCTCTGAGGGAAAGTTTTATTTGGTCTGGTTTCTAAAGGCGAGACATTAAAAAAAAAGCCATAGCAGAGTCCAGTGGGCAGGATACGGTGCCGCCGCCAAAGGACGTGTCTTACCATGCAAGTGTCCAGATCTTCCAGACGCTCCATGTCCGTGAGCTCCTCTACTGCGATAACGGACGGTCTCACTGGCTTCTCCTCAGCCAGCTCAAACGCTAAGGACTCTTGTTGAGAAAGGGACTTGCCACGTCTGCTGAAATGGTCCGCCTGCAGAGTCAGGGCACACACAGGAGAGGCTGAGGCACAGAGGCACGGGAGGACAGGTCCGCTGCGTCTGGAAGCCGGCTTCCACGAGGTGACGGGTGCAGAGAGGATGCGTCTCCCTGAGGCTGGTGACCATTCTCAACACCCTCACACTAGAGCGACTTGCGCCTTTTATTATCTTTCTTTAGAGGACAGATCAAGAAATCACAAAATTTACTTAAAAATATTTTCCTGTCACAAACAACACTTAAAAGACAAGTTCTCCTAATTGATTTAGGAATTTTTTCCACTACGGCTGCAGGGACAGATCCAGGTTTTAAATTCACTGAAACTTTCTCAATTTTTCTTTGGGAAAAGGGGTTGGGGGCATTCTTTAAGAAAAGCTCTACAAAATTACACATGAAAAGTAAGGCTTTGGTAGATGAGGATATTAGTTAGTCTAGAAGAAAGTATGGAGTGTTCTTTTTTAAAATTTTACTTCATAGTTCCTCTGACAGAATTTCTCTTTCTATCTAACCTAATGCTTTAAAGTATCTAAAGAGGGGAAATAAAATGATTCTAACCTTTATTATTTGTAAAGGACTGAAAGCAAGGAAATTGCTAACAAAATTTTAACTGCTGCTACTTTTACTGTTTTAATGCCATGAATAATACCATATTTGATAATATTTATTAATTTTCAGTGTTATGCTTTATGTAAACCTAAAAATTAAATGGTAAGTGGTAGAATAAACTGGGCTGAAACTATATACTCTAGTGCTGAACTGATTCATCCTCAGGAACTTTATTTTGAAACAATGGGAACCAGCTAACAATTCCATAGAATGTTTAAGAACACTTCTAAACTCAGGTGGGAAAAAAATATTCATGTTTATAGAAATGTCTTTGAAAACAAAATTCCATATAGAAGACACTATTTCTTTCACAGAGCAGTTAAGCTCTCCCCTTACAATCCAAGCAGTATTAATATTAAAATGAAGCTCAAAACAAAAGTGCATTCACACAACTCTTCAATTGTAAAAAGAAAATGTTAACATTTTCTGAATAATTAAACTCCTCAAAGAAGGACAAATGCAAAAAAAAGTGAAAAATTCAAACTCTGAGTTAGTTCTCACTGGCAGGCACGTTGATACGATATCCAATATTTACGCTATCAGGCAGGCCTTTTGAGGCAGCCCCTGGCGCTGTGGGCTATGGATAAACTGTTCCTGCAGAGGATACTCTGCTGATTTTGTTTCTGCTTATTTTAAGAAAAGTCTGAATTGGGAGCTCTAAGCAATTACATAGCTGTTCACTGTGCCCTGGACTAGAAACCAGTGCTTGCTAAATTCTCTGTGTTTTTTATATTTCCAGTTTGCCACAAACCAATACTTTGGCAAAATACAATTAAGTATGAAAAGTCAGAAAAATAACATGTTTGGATATTGTGGACACGACAAATTGCTCTAGAAGCTTTTCCATGTTTCCTCTTGGTTGCTGAACTAACCTTGTCATGGGCTAGAATCCATCTATTAGTGGAAGTGGACCAACCAGTCCACTGGTATACTTTGAGTAGCAGTGCTAAAAAAGTATATCTTCTCTTTTAGATTTTAGAGGAGAGTGTAAAAGTTTTTCTGAAATGAATTTTTTGAAATAATCATGTTGTCTGCCTCATGGAAAAGCTGTTACTGTTCCTCTCATTTTAGTTACCACTAGTGTCAACAATTCAAAGCCATAAAACTGGGTATCTCAGCCTACACAGTTAACCTGAAATTTTTCTCTAGAGAGAATATGGTAACTTGCTTGGGAGATTCCTACTGTATCATATTGCTAATATTTTTGAGACAGAAGATATAACCAGTAATAAAACCTTCATCTGTGCCTCGGAGGACTTTCTGAAGTTTGAGGACCATGAAGCGTCTTTCCTGTTTTTTAATTGAGGTATGTACAATATAATGCGCAAATCTTAGTGTATAGCTTGATACATTTTGACATGTATATATATGCATGTAACCACCACCTAGATCAAGATATCACACATTCTAATTTCTCCTCCCTTCAAGTTTCTGATACAGTTGTCATATGCGCTGATACTGGAAGTAAAGGCTTCCACCTTGGTGCAGAAGTCTCCAGATGAAGAAAAAATTAGTTTTTCCTGCTTGGTTATACGCAGACGAGTGGCCGGGCACCAAGCAGCTATCAACCACTACAACAGTCTTTGCGCTCCAGCACTTCCTTTGGACTCCAAATATTTCATTTCCAACCAGGTTCTAAGAGTAGTCCACTTTCTCAAATAATCGTATCAGAGAGCAACAAAATGAGCTGAGACAAATTAAATAATCTAAAATGATCTTAATTTTAGATCTCAGTCTTATCATATCCTACCAAAACTTCTGACCTGCATTATGAATGACAATAGGATTTCTGAATTCCATCACTTCTGCTCTCCCCTACCCTTCCCTCTAGAGAAATTCTAACATATTCTAGAATGGCAAGACCCAGTGTCGAAGAGGAAGGAGGGAAACTAGGATCTTAACCCATAAAGCTGCAGAGCAGTCACATCCCCACGGCAGAGACTGCCCTGCCGTCCCCGCGGACTGGAGCAGGAGGCCCCATCCGAGGCACCGCGACACTCACCAGTCTATGGTGGCAGCGCGAAAGTGCATCCAGAATTTCATCCACGATCCGATCGGAGAGGAAGGAGGCCACGGTCAACTTAACTTCACTGTGTGAAAATCAGAAGGATAGAGCAGCATTTTACTTTGTGCAGGAAAAAAAAAACCCCACCCATGTGTGAACAGGGCTAAGAACTTCTAAAAATAAGCCTTAAACACTGCCATAAACACACAGGTAATAGACTTTCTTTAGCAATTTCAACCAGCCTCTGCAATTTCAAAACTCAAGATTTAGGGGTAGAAATGAAAAGCACCTGAATAAAGACAGACTTAATGGGAACCATATGTATCCTGTGGTGAGGAACAATTCATCCACTGACATAAATTAAAACAAACCTGGGCTGGAGTAAATTAACAAAGTCTAGTCAGATTGTTAAACCTCGGTTATTGTTTTACTATGCTTATCCTCCTCTTTAAAAATATTTTTACCCATCAAATAGCACCATACTGAACAGCTTCTGCTTTGACCTGCCATCCTGGAATCGTTACAAATTCATTGTTTTCTTGCCTTTTATGAACTGAGGTTACTGAAATGTTCCAGGTTTAAGGCCTCTTCCCTCATCTTGAACAGGTGGCCAAAAACAGAAAGTGGCTTATAGATTTCACTAATGAACAACTCAACCACTAAGATCCTGGTCAGATAAGAGGTATTTTGGAGCACTTTAGCTCTTTGGTATTCTCAAGAATTCAAATTTCACACGTGTTTTCAGTCTGAAAAACCTTACCTAAATTCACACATGCACAAATGTAAATACATGCACAATACATTTAAAGGTAAATGTGGGGGAGAGATACATGCCCACATTCCAACACTGTCTCGTAAGCTCCGTCTGCTTTTCAAGTCAACAATTTCAAAGTTTTTAGAGCAGGGAAAGGAGTTATGAAAATAAAATTATTTAATCCTAAAGCTAAATTGAAAGTCTACTTATGTAACAGGGAAAAACCTTTCTATCCTATCCTAAAGGCAATAATTTGCATTGGGATTTCTCTGCCCAGGAAGATTTCTGATGGCAGGGGAGAAGAATGGAAGCACTAACTCTTTGATGTCTACATTAAAACTTTTCCTGGGCTAAAGATTAAAGGTTTCTTTAACTCCTCTCTCTGTAGCTATTTGGTTTACCTAACACTCTACTCTATTATTCCCCAGAGGCATCCACTGATAAGATTCACCCAAGACTCTTATTAAAAATATACATTATTGAGTCTCAGCCCAGTAAATCCTCTGATTTTTTTAGGCATTTTGGGGAATTACTTCCTCATAAAACTATAATCACTAGTTTTTTTCTTTCTTTCTCTCCCTCTCTCTCTGAGGGAGGAAGGTGTGGTTTACCCATTTCAAATTATAACACCAAAAAGGATTCTTAAAAATGCAACTTTTTTTTAATGTCCCGGGATTGTTCTATCACTTTGCTACTGGATGCTTTATTTCCTTACTGATTTAGATTTGAGTTTATCAACTTTTTAGAGGCAGTGATTCTACTTAACCTCCATGTGCATACATGCACATGAATGTATACATAAATTCAAGTGTGGGGGTGCGTATTTTCTATCAGCGCTCAGTAACATGCACTATAAAAAGCCAAGTAACGAGTTAGTGGACATATAATGGATTCACTGATATGAGGAGTCCTATATCTTTCAGATACACGTTCCTCTTTCACAATTTGTTCATTTTCAAGGGAAGTGACCATATTTGACAGAATTCTGTACCCCAGTAAAGGCATCAGAGTCTGATCTATTGGTGGTTCAGTCCATTAATATGAAAGAATGGTGGTTAGTACATTTTTTTCTCCTTAATATTTAAGGGAATTCAATAAAAATTATGAAATCACAAGTTATAGAAATAAGTAAACATACCTTATAAGAACTAGAGTTCATAAAATCACTAATCTATGGGGCCCTATAAAGCCTCTGGAAGTCTTTTGTAAATTTCTCAGGTCCTTCCAATTGTCTTACAATTCAGTTGAGTAGGAACTCGGGTCTTTTACTTCTAAAAATCACCACACATATAACATACACACAGAATAGCTGTCTAGTCACTGCAGAATTCTCAACCCTCAAAGTTTGTAATCCTTTTTTATGGCGTTTACTTATCAGCCTTCTATCTAGATCATGATGATATAATATTTGGCTCATTTTAGCTCTCGTCTTTCTTACAGCTGTCATTTTAGCCACATCACTATGCGTTAGCACAACTCTTGACTCTCCAGATAAAAGCCACTTCTTTTTTGCTGCCTCTAAAATGGGAAACGTAAGATGTTTCTGAACTTGGGTCCTAATCATCTGATTCCCTAAACAAAAAAACATCATGAGAATTAGCTATAATGTAATACTGGTAACTACCCCAGAGTCTATGTAAAACACAGGCAAGTTTATTGGTGATGACACCTGAACATTTGTATCCTGGCATATTTCTCAAACTGTATCAAGCAAAATTTATGTAAATACTCCAGAGCACTAATAGCACATTCATGGTATCACAGACACACCAAAAGAACCCAGAAAGAAAACACGGTGAGGTAAGAGTGGCCTCTTTGCCTAAATAGAGAGAGACAGACAGGCTGTACATTTGCCCCTAATAGTGTGGTGGTAGAAAGTAAACTGATCTCAGTCTTCAAGTTAGTGACTTAAAAAGGCAGAAGATAAGCTTCACAAACAGAAAAAAAAAATTACAAACATGTACTCCCCTATTAAAAATTAAACACTTAAAAAGAGCAGAAAACCGTGTGCTCTTCAGGAACACAGGCCTATCTGTGGTTGTCTTATTTTGGAAATGTGTAAACCTAAGCAGTCCTGCCCAGCTCTAGTTACATGCAGTCAGTGCCTGTCCGACATGCCTACACGCAGCACGCAGGGCAAAGTCGACAGTAACACTCTCCGCGACTGCCTCGACTGCATTCTCAGAAACTGCAGGCCCTAGGTTTACTAACATTATAAACCTACCTAATTTTGTTAAGGATATCGATTCCAGACTTCTCCAACAGAACATTTTTAACAAAGGCACGTGGGATGGAAATCTTCTCCGTGCTGGCATGAATCAAGTCTTGTCGAATGTGGGCTTTCTTCATCACGTTGGGACAAAGATTCTCTGCAGCATCCACCATGGCCTCAAGCAACACCTGCAATGGCGCGGGGGGCCAGGTGAGGACGCTGCACAGGAGGCGCCGCCACAGAACCCACCAGAGGGTGTGCGTGGCACCGAGCCCTGGGAGAACGGGGACACCACGGGGTCCTGGGGCGCGACCAATGGTTCTGAGCTGCTCCCGGGTGCTGTGTGACTGTGGGATGGTCACTGACCTCGGGTGACCACTTTAACTCACTTGGCAGACCCGCCCAAGCTTCATGCTGCCGTCTGACTAGCTGTGTTTAACACAGATATTCATGGTGCGATTTACCAAGACATAGTTCAGGCTTTTATGTACCAACTTACCACACCAGGTTGCTCTCCCTGCTCCTGGAAAATAAAATCACAGGGATCCCTAGAAAATATACCAGACTTGAATTCTTATGTGATTTTGCAAATCACAGAAACCCCAAATCAGGGTGAACCATTCAACAGCTCTAGCAAAATGTAAGCAATAGAAAACCACAGAAACTACTTCCCATTTTATTTTCTTAAAAGAAAAGCTTTAGTGTTAGGCAAAATTGTAACTGTTATAACAACAATACACATGAAAAACAAAAGCACAGAGCTTTTAATAAACATTAATAATAATCAAAACACACTTCTGTAGCATTTTAGAGTTTGATTTCTGTACATTTCATCCTCCCAGCATCCGTGAAGATGGCGGAAGCTCCTCATGTGCTCAAATCACAACACCCAAGGGAAGTGAACGTGCTTGAAGTAGATGATGTGGCTGCTAAGTGCGAAAACGGCAGCAGCATTAATGTCAGGCCTAAATTTGAATCCTTGCTCAGTGACAATGAGCTAAGCTACTGCTCTCTCAGTTTCACTTTCCTCAGCTATAAATGGCAAAAAAAAAAAGTCGTTGCCTCATAGAATTACTGAAGATGAAGTTATATTACATATATAAAGTGTTCAGTTGTCTCGCATACAATAAAAGTTCGGTGTATCACAGACTATATTATTAATCTGTTTTCAGAGATGCTACTATTAGTGATAAGATCCCAGTTTTTAAAAGCCAGGCTTGACCCCATTACTCTTCCAGAGTGAAGGAAGACTGACATAGCATTATTATGGAAAGACTGTGCGCTTAAACATTCATGCGCAAAGCACAATCCCACTAGTAAAACCTCTCACTACACTGTGTGATGAGCGGCAGAACAGTAGGGTGCTTATGAAACACCTCGTGCAGATCAGGGGAGGAGAGGTAAGAGGGAGGCGGCCACCTGCGAAGTTTCCAAAAGCGACTCGTACTTTGACAGTGTTCTTTCCCTTTGTAACTCTGACTAGTCCCTGATTAAGAACATTTTTCCCAGAAAGCTGCAAACAGTGCCAATAAGGTGGCTTAAGACTCCTTGTTGGTGTTAGAATAAACACATTCTGTTCCAGATGGAGCAGGAGCCCAGAGCTCCTGGTAAGAATGACCACAGGCATCCATATGCTGTCTGGATTCTATCTTATATATCGGTATTTTGTGCCTTTCTGAAAGGTCCCCCAGCCTGGCAGTGCTAATTCAGCTGCAATGACCCCCTGACCTAAAGAGAGGTGGCCTGGCTTCCAGTGTGGGCCCTGACATGACATTTCATGGAATGTTAAGTGAGTAGCATTAAGTGAATAACCTTTGCACATCTCTGCAGTCTCACCTATAAAAATTATTTCTAAGGTCTCTCTGCTCTACACATCCATGATTCCCTCACTTTGACCCCGTACGAAGGAATTTCACCCTCTCCTCAGCAAACACCTCAACAGACACTTTGCAGTTGGTTTCCCACCACCTCCTCTAGCCCAACACTAGCAATATAATGCAGCACTTCATACTCTACGTGTAAACGAACTTGATGATTTCTCTTGGTCCACATAACAACCCTGTTAAGTGAAGGCAGATTTTTGGCAAACCCCTTTTATATATGAGGAACTTGGGGTTCAGAGGAGATAAGTGTAAGGTTGTTTAGCTGGTTAATGAACAGCTGAGGTGGGTCTTCTGTTTCCTGTCCTGGCTGTCCTCTTCCAGTGCCCTCACCCACTGCCAAGAGGAGTGTCCCCTTCTTCTTTCTTCGTTACCTACAATCTCTATCCCCCGTTCCCGTGATCAGTGGCATGTAAGGCTGTCACGGTGTGCTTTCTGGTGGGAGGGCTGCCAACAAGGGGAGAAAGGATGACAAGATACGTTTGCAATGGAGCCCCTGACCACTTCTTTGTGTCCAGCCTCCAGCTCTGGTCCTTCACCCAGCATCTCCTTCCAGGTCCCATGGCCCTCTGTACACCAAACGTATTGTTCAATATCCATCCTTCCCATGGCTTCAAGTCACTGCCTATACACCAGCGATGCTCAACCAAATGTCTACCTACAGCCACCTACCTGGCACATACAATGCATAAATAGTAGAATCTATTAAGCATCTCTACCCGGATGTTCTGCCACGGAAAGTTCAGTTACATTTCGTCCTTCCCTTGCCTCCGTCTGAACAGCAACTACAACAGCAAAATCAACTGCTCTTCCAAAGATCTTATTGTGAGGTATGGCGCCAATATATCTACAAGTCCCTCGAAACTCTACCTAATTTACCCCTTCCACCACATCTGTCTCTACAACACGTTAAATTTACTCCTAGATGTTTCCTCATAAGCAGAATATGACAAAAAAGATTATTCATAAACACCAAAAGGGAATCCCTGAAACATCTGGTACTTGCTTGACTCTGTGGCCTCGTGTCCTGTCCTATCTCTCTATTCCCCTTGGCACTATTCACATCCAACTGTAGTTCCAGTTCCCCACATGATCCAGGCTTTGTCCGCCTGCCTCGCACACACCGTCCTTAGCCTAGCGTTCCCCTCTTTCCCTCTGCAGCCAGAATGAATCGTCTCCTCCTCCACACCCAGCTCAGCGCACGCGCTGCCTCTCTGAGGAGACCTTCTTGCTTTCACTCTCCTTACATCCTTCGTGTCCCAAACTGTGCTCGATGACATTCCTGGCTGGTCCCACAGCACCCAGTGGGGGCTTCAGTAATCAAATGTGTCATAAGGTGCTCAAGAATACCATTTGGGGGCCCAAGAACCCCTTTGAGAATATGAAAAACACTCATCCAGGAAAATGAGTTTGAAATTCTGCATCTAATTTTATAAGCTCATGGAGAACCAGAGGCACCGGACTCCAGACCCACAGCTCGCACCTGACGGCAACTGGGAAGTCCCACCCTACGTCCCCAGGGCCTGGAACCCCCCTGTGAATGATCTCTAAGGAACATAAAAAAGTGTGACAAGCCCAGGGCCTCAGTGAGTGCGGGTACTGAACAGTCCACTCCTCCCCTGCTGCTCCCCAGTGCTGCCTGTCATCCTGAAGTCTGTACGCGTGTGCATCTATTTCTGGGCTCTCCCTTTCTGTCGCATTGGGTTGTTTACTGTATGCCATCCTAATTATGATTCCTTAATATGTGGTAGGGCAAGACTACCAATTTTCTCGTTCTTCGTAAGTGCCTGGGCTATTCTTGAACACTGCTTTTCCATATGTTTATAATTAGCTTTGTCACATTCTGTTAAAAACCTGTTGGGATTTTTATTAGAACTGTATCCAATAATAGATGAGTTTGGGAAAAACTGACATCCTGTGATACTGACTCTTCCTAGTCATAAACAGGGCGCTCTTTTACTTTTAGACTTTCTTTAAAGTCTTTCAATCAAGTTTTATAATTCTTCTCCATTGTGGTGTTATTCCTCTGATTGATTCCCATGTACTTTACATTCTTTTGCTATTTTGAATGGTGACTATTTTCAATGACATTTTCTAAGTGTGATATAATTAGTTTTAAGAAGAAATACATAGTTGGTCATTCAGATGACCAACTATATATTTCCCAAGTATATCTGGTTTTCATCCACAGTTCCTGAAAACACTTCAGAGCCTTAAAGGTGAAATGGGTGTCTTGCCATGTTGGTGAGAGACTTTTGGACCCACCTAAGGGCGGGGGCTGGAGGCTAAATCAGCCAATGACCAATGACTTAGCCAATTATGACTATGCGATAAAGCCCTCAAAATCCAGTGAGAAGACCGTTCTCTCCCTTTGGTGTGCTGCGCTTCTCTGTCTGAGAGCGTGTCCATGCTTTAGGGAACCAGAACACGTCCGTGGGCCACCGGGCCAGGCCCCGAGCCCCGTGAGGACAGACGCTGCTTTATTTGGGACCTTGCCCCATGTATCTCTTCATCTGACTGCTAAATTTTATGATGTCCTTTATTAAACTGGTAAACCTGTTATTCCTGAGTTCTGTGAGCTGCTCTAGCAAATTAATTGAAGCCAAGGGGGAGGTCGTGGGAACCTCCATCTGTAGCCGGTAGGTCAGAAGCACAGGGACTGCCTGGGGTTTTCATCCGGCATCTGGAATGGGGGGTGGAGGGCAGTCCTGTAGGATGGGTCCCTGAGCCTGGGGATCTGGTGCTGTCTCTGGGCTGGTGTTTGAGAATCGCTTGGTGTTTTGTAACACACACACACACACCACACCACACCCACACACACACACACACACACGAATTGGGTCTAGGAACCCAAAAGGAGTTATACTGTTATGTGAAAACACAGTTAAGTGTTGTCGATGTACAGAAATGCAATACATTTTTACATATTGGTCTATCTCCAGCAACCTTATTGTAGTGATCCTAATAATTTAACTGCAAATTAGATTCTTTTGGGTTCCCTATGTAGACAATTATTTAAAAAATTACAATCACAAAATATGCAAATCATGATACTTTTTCTTCCTTTTTAATCTTAACATTTTTCATTTCTATTGCTTGTCACATCGCACCAGCTAAGCCCTCCAATACGATGTTGAATGGGAGTAGTGATAATGGACATTTTTCCCTTATTCCTGATGTGAAAGGAAATTTTTTCTGTTTTTCCCTCTAATATTTCAAAAAATCCCAGTCATCCAGAAAAGTTGAAAGAATGGAATAATAAACACTCCTACCCTTCTCCTAAAATTTACCAATTGCTAATAATTAGC